TTGTTTTTTTGTTTTGTTTTTTTGTTTTGTTTTTTGTTTTGTTTGTGGGTTTTTTTTGTTTGTTTTTTTTTTTTCTTTTTGTAAGTTTTTTTGTTTTGTTTTTTTGTTTGTTTGTTTTTTTGTTTTTTTTTCTTTCTTTTTTCCCCCTTCAAAAACCACAAAACTACGAATAAAGCCGGGTTTTGCAAATTTTCGCAAATTTGTTTTCCTTAAATCATGAAAAAATTTGCGCCATTTCGAACAAAAATTCAGTAAGACCGCTCCATTCGAAGCCTGTTTTTCGATTGCCCTTACAAAATGCACCTCTTTTGCTAGGTTAGGTTTCATTTCAGTTTTAGTTTCAGTTTAGTTTTAGTTTAGTTCAGACCAACTTATTTATTGTAGGCTTTAATCTTATTTATTGTAATGAAACTTGCTGCAAACGGTTCACATGCCCCTAACAGTTTTTAGTTTCCACATCCGCGATATTTCACTAAATATATATATCAATAATCAGTATTCTCATACGTGAATATACTAAATCCGGCGCGTAGGCTATATTCACCTACAGGTTAGTATAATTTGAAATGCGGAGATGAATAAAATTTGGAGAAAAAATACTCTTTCCGATTATTTTTTAAAATTCACTTGTGATGATCGGCATTCCCCTTATTGGGGTCTTCCGTGATGTTAGCTCAAAACACACTACCACTAACAACACTTCGCACGGCGAGCCATTTTTGCAAGGCTTTTTTTGATCAGTGGTGATTAGATAGTCTTAAGATAAACTCCACAGACAAAAGTCTATGTAAAGAGGCCGGGAACCAACATCAGTGAAGGATTCATCTTCAGTTCCTGTTTTCGATAATCACCATGAAAAGTAGTGCTAAGATTGAACAGAAGAGGGTACTACTCTGAACAAATTGAGTAAGTCCTACGCTTTTGAGCTCTGTCCATGAAATTTACTGCAGATGACGTTTAATTAAAAACATAAACTATCTTTATTACTGAGCTTTTAGCGAAAACGCACCGGGCTATCTATAATCTTCTAATTAAAATCAAAAACGCAAAAGTTCATAAACGCCGGAACGACCAGAAGTAGGCGTTCTTAAATTCCATTTCCCTCCACCGGCGAAAACTATAATAACCCAATGTTTTTTTGAAGCGCTTTCAATCGTTAATTGTTTGGAAATACGGTGCTGAAGGTCAATAACAGAAACTATAAGAATGCTTGATTAAAGGCAAACATCCACTGGCACTGAGAGAGGAAGCGGCTCTCGATTATAAACAAGCCTATACGTATCCTGTTAGGACTTGGCTGCTTAAAAACAGCCAGAAAAATAAAAAAAAGATATACTTTATATATGAATGAGTTCCATGGCATCTTCCAAATGATTCACTGCTTGGAACATAGCTATTAACTATGCTTGGAAACTGCAGTAAACGAGGGGGGAAAACAGGAAGTTGTGATTGCTTAGATAAGGTCATATTCATACCTCCTCACAAGTCACTATAACTGTAAATATCCATTCTTAGATTTTAGCCATCATTATTTTGTATCACCACAAAGTATACAATCGTGAATTTTTAAATGTTCATTTTTCGTATTATTGTTATTTTAATAATGTTTCCTCTTCTATCGCGCGCAGTTCGTCTTGTCGGTCCAATTTATAACTGAATCCGGTTGTCTTTTGTAGTTTTCTATATATATCGACTTTTCTAAGCGTTACAAAGATATTTAAGCAAAACATGGCTTGCAGACGCCCTGCCTGTCTCAAAATGCAAGAATAATATATTGAGTTTGCTATAGATAACAGCTACAGCAAATCAGACGCTAAAAGAAAACCTCTGCAAATACATTAGTCTGTCCTCTTATTAATCAAGTTACTCTAAGTCACCTGCCTGCTCCGGCAATCTAAAAACAATAGCTAGAAATGCCAAAAAGAAAACGAAAAGCTAAATTGTGAAACAAGGGCAATGTCGTACCCAGAGCCTACGTTTCTTCTAGCCTGCGGCGAAGAGTGCTCAGGCATAATCCATTTTTTGACGCATGCGCAGTTTTCGGGAAGTTAAAATTTATTCATTGAAAATCATGCTTTCAAACAGAGTTCTGTGTTTATTTCCGATCCGAAATAAGAATTAGAAATCGGGAACATATTTTTTTTATTTTTGGCAAGTCTTTAAACGCATGCGCTCTTATACCGGAAGTCCAAGAAATCCTGGTCTCAAAAAATGGATTATGCCGTTGTCCACCGAAAAAAGACATTTAGATATTTACACATTTAGACATTTAGACTAAAAGCAATATCACGTGTTTCCTCGAACGTTCTGGCATAAAACAAACGCTGAAATACCATTTTCCATCTTAAATCCTCACTAAATGGTCGGGGCATTCTGGATTTTCGATTCACGAGTTGAATTTTACATTTAAAGTTCAGGCTGACGCACACGAGGCAAAGAATATATAATGAAACACGTGATAATTCTTTTAGTCTAAATGTGTAAACGTGTAAATGTCTGTTTTCGGTGGACAACGTTAGTGACATTGACTGTATAATATGTCACGACCCTGCCATTAACTATGATGACAGAGCCTTCGTTCTTCGCCGCAGGCCAGAAGAAACGCAGTCTCTGGGTACGAGATTGAAACAAGGGTTGAAATTCGCGCATGCGTGGTAATAAACACCTTGCATCGTTGTTATTAACAGCCATAGTCAAACGATATCATAACAAGTGGTGATAACTAGTAGAGTACTAGCGTGGACTGCGTCGGTGTTTCTGAATAAAACAGTGGGAACTTGTAGATAAATTGGATCACCGTAAAAAGCTTTGTGAAACTGACCTTTCGGACATTAATTAGTCCTTCGTCGGAGTAAGCTACTAACGTCCGAAACGTCAGTTACGCAAAGCTTTTTACGGTGATTCAATTTATCCACTAGATCCGGATATCACAACAACGTGAATTTAACTTCGTAAGCTCCTTAGTTTTTCCCTCGGGTTTTTTAATGGAGTTCAGTTGATTGAAAATCCTACAAAAATAACAAATGACGGATGTTGCTGGTGATTTAGCGACTCTGTTTAATATTTTTCGAGCGGCAATAGAATTATTCTTAAAATAAACTGAAGGATTAGTCAACAAACGTGTTCAGCCTAAAATAATATTGGCGCCAAAACTGACGTCAATCGACGAAACGCGGTCGGTTTTGATAATGAAAATTTAACAATGAATTAAATACTACATCAATTTTTTCCTCTGAAATTTTTTTGTGTTTAACAATTCGTAAAATTAATAATTTTTCCATTCAAAATATTTTTGATCCATTCCTTAGCCTGACGCTTTTGTAGTTCATGCCTTTCTTTTCCTAACTCTTTCAAGTAAAACAGGACATGAAAAATACATTGAATGAATAAATGAAAGTAAATATCCTTTATTTCATAATCGGAATGCAAATATTATTAAGACCGCCTTTAGCACTTGGACATTTCTATTGCTTTAGTTAAATCCTGAAGAGATGAATTCACTGAGTTTTTCCCAAACCTGACTGAAAGAAATATTAAAGATGGGTGAACCGTAGTCCACACTGGACCCACTTCAAACATTTTTGTTTATGTTCGTTCTGATCCAAATAAACGCGAGCGGTCGTGCGAAGATCCATGGGAATGAAATAAAAGGGAAGACCGTGGATAAACGGTACCAGTTCTTGACTTTATTTGCAACACTTACTTGATTCACAGCTTCTGCTAATGAGGCCTCATTGATCTAACATGAATACTCGATGTCAAACAGAGTTGATTGAGTTGTTTGAGTTTTAAAAGTCGTTTTTCGCCTAACAGGACTATTGATCATTTGAACTTTAAGAACCAAAGCACAGCTAACGATTTACAATGTTAAACTACTGACAGTTTCTATTTCCTTTTTGTTTTGTTAACCTAAGCCAATTAGGGTCTCACGTTATTTAGTTATCTTGGTTAATGAATTGATGAGGCAAAAATCGCATTCGGTCGTTATATTAGAAACACATTTAATATTCTCTCTCGTTGATCAACCAACATATGACCGTCATGTCTCAGTCTCATCTTCTTCTTCTTCTTCTGTGATCATTGTTTGGACTGAAACTTCAGTCCAGCATCGTAGATCCCACCGATCCCATTAGTGCAATCGTGTTGAGTTTATAAATAGCTTTTGATTATTTGTATATGAATTAGCTAGAGTAGGCACATCGTATATGACGTACCAAGGTCAGCAGTATCATAACACACGAGAGACTAACCAATAGCATAACATTGAAACAGCTGCTTCAACCAACTTCCCCTGACAGTTCTGAAACTAGATACTTGACTGTTTGTGGATAAATTATTATCCGCTATTGCAACTGCACTACATGCAGGATCTGTAAAATGGCTTCCAATTCGCTTGCAGATAATACCAAGCAATGTGTGGAACTGAGAGGCCCTTCACTGTCCTTTCAGTTCGTATAGCTACTTTAACCTTTCATTTAATCATGCAGAAGTATAACGGATCTGAACAGTATACATATCGAGTCTTAAGGAGTTTAATTTCAATTGGGGCTATCGTCCTGTTTTCTTCTCCTGCCGCCCTTAGCTTCGTATGTTGTGTATTTAATTGTATTATGTTTGAGGCAAATTCCAATAAACTAAACTAAACTAATCGGCTGCCGTAAAAAAAATTGCAGTCTTGCTTCTAAAAATTATGAATTACTAATAAAATGTAAAATAACTTAATGATGTACCCAGGCACTAAAACCATCAAGTCCATTCAATGAACGGAAGATAATTATACTCTACACAGTGACCTAGACCGGTATAGAATACGGTGGCTTATAAGCCGAAGGGTTGACGAACGCCTCCTCTCCTTCAAAATTTCATGCCGCGCTTCCAATTTATTTGTTTATTATTTCTGATAAGAAAAGTCGTCAGAATTGTCAGAGGGATCATTATATTTTGATCAATGTTGAGAGAACTGCACGCGTCCATGCAAATAAAGCCCATGCAAAGCACATTTGTCTCATCTTTCTCTTATGTCTTTTATGTCACCCCCTCTAGCAAGAGCCATTTGGCAGAATTAATTGGTCTAGAGCCATATCTGAAGACAAATCAGTTCTAATGCCGAAGCAAGGTGTAACTGGAGATGATTTATTTCGTTATCTGGAGAGGGATTTTGGCGTAATGCACGTCGAAGTGATAGATATCTAGATATGGGAGACGGGTTTGAGAAACTGCTAGATTAAACTCTTACTCTTTCAAAAGTAATTGATAAACATATTTTATTCATTCATTCGTTTTATATGGGGTAATTTTTTTTAAAAAATTCATATTCGCTCGGCGTTCGTCGGTCCTTTCTGCATTCATTCGTTTCATTTCATCTTATTCATTCATTCATTCATTTACTTCGGCATTCATTTATTCATTTTCATTCAAAGGCATGCTCTCGAATTTATTGATCATCTTTTCTTGTTATCACCTCTTGTCTTTGACTAGCATCTCATTAAGTGTCAGACCGCGATATATTCACAAGACTGATCCTTCATAGCAAAGTGATAATTAGCTTTAACGATTCTTCTTTGTGGCTGAAACATGAATATTGCGAACGCACTATCGTAACAAGGATCGAACTGAGAAGAGAAGAGAAGAGAAAGGAAGAGAAGAGAGAAGAAAGGAAACGGTCTTTGCAAGAATTTTCCAAAATCTGATCTTATTTTTGCAAAGCTTTTAAACATCAAAAAAATATTCAAATCTTTTAATCAAGCATAACTAAATTAGCGATTATCTTGAAATCGGATTAAATATGTTAACGTTAAGTACAGTTGTTCTCCAGCAAAATCCCCTATCCAATTTCTCCATTTTATAGATACATCTGATCATTGAGACGGACGCCTTATCGATAGATATGCTAAAACTAATCAGTCTACTTTACCTCGAGATAAATAAATTCAGTGTCAATATCATTATTTTATTACGTGCTTTCAACAGTCCAATCTCCATCTTTTTTTTTCCAACATGGATTATTTCAAAGTTTGATCAGTGGGGATTAGCGAGTATTAGCAAGAAGAATTCGAATCATATAAATGCATTATTTTTACGAGCCCCACTCTCAGTCAAGCCGCGATGAAAAACTAAGATTGTTCCGGAATAAAAATTTTTTGCTACTCTGATCGTAACATGTCAAAACACACAAAAACGTGAATGTTGAATTATCTCAATGATCTTGTTGTTTCTATGATAATTGAGCTTGTTCTAATAAGTCGACCCTTGTTTTTCTTTTCGCGTGTGCCTTGCTACTGACAACATATTGATGTTTGTTTTTTACCGTTGACAAAAGAGTTTTGAGACATGTTTTTTATTTTAAAAAAAACACCAAAGTATTGTTACTTCGGTATGAGCACTAATTTTCGAATATTATTGTTGGTGAAAACCGCTTTTGTCTGTTTTTATGGTAAATACTGCAGCCGTGGCCAATAAACATATTGTACATTTAAACAGTCAAATTCAATTTGCAATCGTATCTCAGTAAAACAAAATCCAGTTAATTAAGGTTTTGATTAATGCCACCATTATTGAAGCAGATTTACAGACTTTTTGTGAATATTGAACACAAAACTTTTCTATTGCTACGAACTTATCTAAATTAATGCATGTTTCGTCTCTAGTTGTGAATTTTCGCTGTACCTGTCTTATTCAAACCATGTAGATATATCACATGATTATAATCGTAATCCATTAGAAATTGATTTTGTCAGCCAGTTTCCTACGAAAAAAAGATAAGCAGAACCCTTTGATTTTTTTTCGATTTCAGTGGGGTTTTTTTTATGTCTGTGATTGCTCTGTTCCAATATGGTGTGAGAAAGAAAGAGTAGACCCAGAAAGTCGTGTTGATGCGGTCTGAGCAGTTGATGTACCCAGAAACTCTTCGCCACTTCGACTAACAGTTTCAAACACTGAGGTATTACACCTGCCTCTAGCCCACTTCGGTATGTTTTCGCCAGCTACATCATCAGAGGGTCTCCCTGTCGTAAATTTCACTCTTTTTCTTCCTCGTCGTCGGTTCCTTCCCCAGAATATGATGCTGAATCTAGGATTCCTCATCGCGTAAATGAGAGGATCAAATGAAAACGAGCAGAAAGCAAGAGATATTGCGACTATTGTCGTTGTTTCATTCGTATTTTGTTTGAAAGGCGAGCTTAAAGCGTTTAAGAGAGCAACAAAGCAGTAACATCCCCAAGAGGAAAGAAAAAGTAGAAAAATCGCCAGCATAGTTCTTGCTGTTCTTATTTCCGCGGTGTATCGTATAGTCTTAGGGTGTCCAGCTCCCAGGGGCCGGATCTGGTTGTAGCCTTTCCAAAGCGGGCCGGCCATTCTGCAGTATAACGCGCTTACAGTGGCAAAAGGAACGATAAAACAAATAGCCACCAAACATAGGTTAGCGATCTGTGTTGTCCTTGAAGATGACGATTTTAGAAAAGGCAGACATTGGTTCAAACGAAGTGTATTCGAATGGTTAATAAAATTTAAAAATCGACTACACGTTATAGGAGCATCGCTGATCAAAAGCCACGGTATAGATAAGGCTAAAGCTGTTAGCCATGAAGCTAAAATCATTTTTTTGGTTGTCTTGGCTGACAGTTTACCCGTATTGGCCTTGGTAATAACATAATATCGCTCAAATGCGATCAACACGAGAGCTAGAGTAGAGCCTGTAGCGAACAAAGTGAAGAAAAACCCATGTGTGAAGCAAAGCCATTTGGAGACCTGTCGTTTGTTCACCATACTTAGATATGAAGGAACGCATAGTATGGAGAACAGTAAGTGTGCGATTGCCATGTTTACGATGTTAGCATTAGTGACCGTATGGAGCTGATAATGCCTAGCAACTATAAGGCATATTGCACTGTTTCCCACAACGCCAAGGAACAGAGAAAAGATCAATATGGCATGGAGAGGAGTTCTCAGATAAGAAGGAAGGTCATTACATACAACTACCCAATCGAGGGTTGTATTTGACGATTCATTCATGGCAAATGCTGGATCAAGGTCGTGTTGTCATCGTTCATAGTTCAGTGCCACACTGAGCCGCTGTCACGAGAGAAAACCAGTACGGTTTTTGCCACTTCCAAACCAGTTAACTCGTTCCTTTCTGCCACATCATTTTCAAATGTTGACTGCGAACGTGAAAATTCAGACGTAATAATTCCTATATTGACAGAAATGACTTGTTGGTGAAGGAAATAAGGTATTTTACGGCTGAAAGAGTCGAAGGTGCCAGTCACTGACTTCCAGGGGGTGAAAATTTGATCTCGAAATGACTGTTCGTATTTGATCAGAAGGTGTTTTTATAAAGACTTCACGGCTCATTTGGTATTCACACAGAATTGGAGGAAACTGAATTTCAATTAGTGGATTACATTAGTCACTTTGTCACACAATCCGCCTATCTAGGTACACTTCGCAAGTGCCAGGTGACTGGATAATCATGTCGCGAAGTCCAGACTGGCACTTAGCCCGTAACATCTAGATCTTATGTGAATAATTTTGAAACGCTAAAATGAATATTAAAGCTGTAAATTTGGATCATGATACCGAACGTTTTTAAACTTGACAAATTATACCTGGAATTAAAGTACTTCGTGTAAAATTATATTCACTGCAATCATATTGAACGAGTAGGATGTATGTGTAGGGGGGGCTAAAGTAGTTAGTGCTTATTCGAGTTAGTAGCTCCCCTCAGGTAATGGCTCAAAACCAATTTCATCCATAGATATAAGTATATACCACGCATCTAGCATGGAACGATGCATCATCATGAGTGGCTGGAAATTTGGAAAAACATTTTCTGGTTTTAACAATTCATATATTTAATATCAAAAGAGAAGAAGTCATAATCGAACACAACAAGTTGTTTGGAATGCTGTTTCCCAAGATTTTTCATCCCCCGGGCCCCATTCTTGATGCCTTTAAATTAAATTCTACCACCCGTTCGATATAAGCCAATTCCATGCAGTTCCAATTTTCCCTTTTCTCTAATTAATGAACCCTCTGGATCTTCTCCAATATCCAACCCCCAGACAGCAGTCATCATTAACCTCAGATTGATCGATCTTCAGGAAATGGACAATGCTTTCCTACAGCGAGTCACTCATAATTAGATCTTCGTTGAGTTCAATTCTAGCTCCAGGTAGGGTTCCTTGATAAAAAGACATATTTTCTCTTATTTATTTTTTTTCTCTCTTACTCTTTATTACGGTTCAAAATGTACCTGCAAAGTCCTAATCACTGACACTCAAGTTTGGTGAATTCGTACATACCGGGCGTACATACAACTAAGGGGAAACTGGTAACCGGTCGTTATAACCTCGTGGTGCATTGCATTGTGGGACTGAATTTTGGGAATGATATCAAAAGGCTGAACCGATTTGGCATCCTAAAATTTAGCCCCAAAATCCTATGCAGCATGACTTCGCAACCAGTCCTCCCGGCAACGAATCTCGCAAGGCGAACAGGGCCGGGTCGTACGAAGGGTCATAGCGCTATCCGACGGATAAATTCTATCCAGTGGATAAATGTATTGGATAACAGCATCGTATTAGTATCCACTCCAAGCAATTCGAAAACGCTACGAGTGGATGCGATTTTTTCCTGCGAACGTGAGTTCAAAATCCGTTATTTGTAATCCCTAATCCGTTATATCCAAAAATATATGGATTGATACGCATGGAAGGGGCCTAAGAACGTTCTAGCATCGCACACCACCTGCAATTTTTTGCTATATTATATACATGTTATACCGGCTGAATGGGACATGATTAAGTTCTGAACGGAGGAGTCAAGCCGGCGAATGAATTTGCTCTTCAAAAAGGACACGTGAATATTAATTTATTTCCACCAAAATAAAAAGGACGTCGCTGGAATCTAGCTTCCCGGATAAGCTGTATCTTCATCATTTCCACCTTTATTTTTGCTTACAAATTAAAGCTGTTGTTTGTTTAGACGAATAATGGTGTAAAGAAGTGAGTAGGATATTCATGCACCTGGACTTTTATTATTTAGGTATCAAGCCAGGAGATTTTAATTATCGAACCGCTCACGGCTTAGAAAGGCATTCTGCTGTAATCATTTTTTTAGTTTCAAACCTAGTGGAAACTCATCTCGTTCTTTTTACCAATGACCCTCAATCGTGAGAGAAATAAATATCATTCATTAACATATCTTTCAGTTCATTCTTTTCTTCTTTTCTTCTTTATTCTTTCACATATCGGGCATGATCAATGAGAGGCCTGCACGTGAATTGAAGCGTTTTGGGTGATGCAAATGATACAGTCAATTCAAAAAATGTTGTCGTCGAATAATGGTATTTAGGTAGAGAAGAGCGGATTTTGAAAAAACCCACTAAACGGCCTCAAATCGTGCTGAAACGTTGCCAGAAGACTGAACAAAGCAAAAGCAACGACTGCAGCAAGTTTTGAAGCAAATCGTTGAGTGAAACATTTTATTTTCGTAACTTTATCATA